GCGGGGGGGGGGGGGGCAGTTGGGAGCAAGCAGACCGGCAGGCAGAGTGGTTAGAGGCAGGCAGGCAGGCAGGCAGGGGAGTGGTTAGGAGCCAGCAGTCCCGGATTGCGAGAGGGATGTCCGACTGCTGGTTTAGGCCCGATCCCTGTAAACTGGCAGTAGGACATCCTTCGAGGGGTCCCAAATTGGAGAGGGTGCAGGCCAGGCTGAGGAACACATCCTCCCCTGTGCACGAATTTCGTGCACCAGGCCAGTAGTAAAGTATATAACACCCCAGCTGAGTAGCAACAAAGGAGATGATGGGACAAAGAGCAAATATCAGCTAAAATTTGCCTTAGCAAGGTCCTTTGTCACACCTTCTACATGGTATTTTGGACAGGCTTTTCCCCCATTATGATCCTAAGAAACTTTGCAATTATATATGAGCCAAATAAGGACTACCTTTTTTATTGTAAGAACAATAGCAGACAGAAAAACAAGCTGCCAAGCTTAAAAGTCTTCAGATATCTGGTACAGTACAGTACTTAAATACAAGAAGGACTGTGAAGATGAAACTTAAAGCTTTTTAACTGCCTTCAAAAACACTCTCTATGTCTTGAATTTGCTGGCTCCAGAATAAGATCAGGCAAAGAAAAATTTTTCCAATAGACATTGGTGATTTAGATGTTGGTGATCTATCAAAGTATTTTGTGGGCCAAAATCAGAATCCTTGTTCTTATCAATATATCTTTTTTTCTTACGTTTCTCCCCTGCAGTCAAGTCTCTGGTATTCAAATACTTTCAACCTTTTGTGTCTTAATAAATATGCTCTCAGGGACATTAAAATAACCCTTTCCATTAGCACAGTCACATTTAGAAAATGTTTCTAGTTATATTAAAATGGTATTGATAAACAGCTTCATGATTCTTCTAGAAAGTAGTGGGCTCCTATTTTATTTTTAACTAGAGGCTCGGTGCATGAATTCATGCATGGGTGGGGTCCCTCTGGGTGGCCTGCAGGGATCAGGCTGAAACCTTCAGTCCAACACTGCCTGCAGCTCCTACCTGCTGCTTCTGCTGATCCTGGCCCTTTTGTGCCTGCCACGGGCTCGCACCCAATCAGTCCCAATCAGGAGAGGATCCTACTGCCACTGCAGTGCTTGCCAGCCATGAGCCTTGAGTCTGGCACCCTCCCAAGGGGAGTGGCCTGTGGGATCGGGCTGAAACCACCTGTCCGACATCCCCCAAGGGGTCCTGGATTGCGAGAGGGTGTATGCCAGGCTGAGAGACCCCACCGGTGCATGATCGGGCCGGGGAGGGACTGTATGAGGGCTCCAGAGCATGTGTGGCCCATCTTGCTCAGTCCCAATTGGTCAGACCCCAGCAGCAAGCTAACCTACCAGTCAGGGCATCTGCCCCCTGGTGGTCAGTGCATGTCATAGCAAGCGGTTGGGCAGCCATATCATTAGCATATTATGCTTTGTTTGGTTGTTCGGTTGTTCTGCCGTTTGCTCTATTTGCATATTGCCCTTTTATTATATAGGATGTATCTCAGGAGACAAAGCATATCCCAGTTAAACAAGTAGTAGTGAATAATAACATGCTTTGGTAGATGAAGAAGCTGTAAAATGTAAGGTATGAAAAATCTAATTGTTTGACCAATTCTGGATTTATCAAACATTTGTGTTAATAAATGTTTTAAATATCTTCCCCAAACCCTCTCTGGTATTATTTCTATTGGGGAAAATATTTTTATTCTAGAATTGGGTGAAATTACAAAGGAAGTTTTGGCATTCTTGCACTTCCTCTTCTTGAAAAAAAATCTGTATTTTCAGGCCACTCTGGGATAAGTTGGCCCTAAACCAGAAAATGCTATGTCATCATATTACTGGGATATGTGGACTTTTAAATTACCCACTTGGCCTCATGGTTATAAGGTACTTATGTGTTTCTCACAAGCTCAACTCTCTGTTGAGAATGGCAAACACACTAATGCTTTCTAAACATATCTGATCATGGTTTATTGGTTTTGGGGAATGTACATTTATGTGGGAAACCCACTCTTAAAAAAGTTTTAGCCCTAACCTGTTTGGCTCAGTGGATAGAGCGTCAGCCTGCGGACTCAAGGGTCCCAGGTACGATTCCGGTCAAGGGCATGTACCTTGGTTGCGGGCACATACCCAGTAGGGAGTGTGCAGGAGGCAGCAGATCGATGTTTCTCTCTCATCAATGTTTCTAACTCTCTATCCCTCTCCCTTCCTCTCTGTAAAAAAATCAATAAAATATAT